CGAATATGGCACTCATTTCTAAATCCAAGATGGCGGACACGAGTTTTCAAATAAATGCAATATGGGTATCATTTTCGAGGTACTTGGGGGTGCTCATTACGAATGTGGCACTCATTTCTAAATCCAAGATGGCGGGCACGATTTTTTCAAAAAAATGCTATGTGGGTATCATTTTCGAGGTATTTGGGGATGCTCAATATGAATATGGCACTATTTGTAAATCCAAGATGGCGGGCACGATTTTTCAAATAATGGCAAGTTGGGTATCGTTTTCGAGGTATTTGGGGGTGCTCATTACGAATATTGCTTTTGTTTGAACTGTCGTGTTTGCCATCTTGGATTTAGAAATGAGTGCCATATTTGTATTGAACATTCCCAAACATCTCGAAAACGATACCCAACTTGCCATTATTCGAAAAATCGCGCCCGCATCTTGGATTTAGAAATAAGTGCCATATTCGAAACCTAAAACCGAAAATGCCATAAGCAAACATTAAAGAAAATAACTGTTAAAATAGATTAAAAAATCGCTTAAGAATGCTCCCCTTTTAAGAAAATAAAATATTTTAATATAAAATATTTCGCTTGAGTTACGAAAAGAAAGACATATAATAAGCTATCAAAGTTGTACTGGTGGTGCCAACACTATTATACTATATTATACACTAGTAGAAACAAATATATAAGTACTGTAAATTTGTTGCAATATGTGTTCCAATTCAAATAAAATTAAAATAAATAATTATTCAATAAAGCATGAACGCAGAGCCGTTAAAAGTATTATAAAATAATTAAGTGTCCCAATCACTTACAGGAGTTAACGAAAACATTTAATGTTTATTAAAGTAAATATTAGTTCAAGATGCGCAAATAAATCTAAATTACAGGCACCACTAAAATTTACGTAATATAATTATTTTGATACAGAATAGCAAAATGGGGAGAAAAAAAATTCGTTACTTTGCAACACTTTCGTATCTTGTTGCCGCGAAATTATTTTTCTGTTTTAGTGAATATTTACATAAAAATATGAGTTGAAACGCATTACTTACTTGTGGAATGCGGTGTTAGTGTCTATTTTATGTTTGTCTGTTGTATTTTTACACCCATTTACCGCACATTTCGTCATTTTTAGCAAAAAATTTTGGAGCTGTTCGCGGTGCAATATGACCTTGAGCACTAACAGCCCGCGCGCTCCTGGGACGCGTTTGGAACCCTCTAACTTGCCTCACTTAGCATGTGCGGGCTAGGTTTCTATGCGTTATTATTCTAAGCTTACGTGGTTCAAATTTGATGGTTCTGGTGGCGTTTGTGTTACCACCTTGACTTAAAAACGCCACCAAATTTTAAATTGTTATGATATTTTTGAATATAACTTTAACTTCCGAAAATTGTTTTAAAGTATTATGGTTTATTTGTCCCAATAAACTTAGAAAGATAGTGTTATTCATAATTTTTCAGATATCGTAAAATTACTTAGTTACTTTTTGATCTATTTGCACATTAGCGATCTTTTAAATTTGTATTTTACTTCAGTTAACGGTGATATCATTGATTAAATGATTTTGTTGAGAATGTCAAACACGAGAAGTTAGTTCATTTTTGTTTTCATTGGCAGTTGAATAACTACGATACACTACGCCATCTCCAGGAATGTTTTGTAAAGATAAATTGTAGAAACTCAAATGTATACCTTGAGGATATGCGGTGGGTTTATCGAGACATTGAGGCTTCATGCAAAATAAGGCACAGAGTGCTAATTTAGAGTTGTTACTTTTTTCCAAATAACCTGAAGAAATAACACTTAATACAATTATAACTAACTAGTGGAGTAATTTCACAAAAAATAATTGAATATCATAGTGGTGAAACATCCTGACATTCAATAAAATTTATTTACAACCTGAAAAAAATTCATGTTACCAGGAAAAGGCTTCAAATCCTAAAGAATGAGCCAGTCTTTTTCTACAATTTCGTAATTTTCTACAGGTTTAATTTTAATACAATCAATGGCAGGTTTCAATGCAAGATAAACGAATCATTATCAGTAATGTTGTCATTTGGGCACATTGATTTGCAGTTCTCTTTAATAATCCTCCAACTCCTGGGTACCCTTGCCATGG